GTGGCCCACCACTCACTGACAACTTAAATAACTTTTGATCCAGTTAATATTTTTAGCTGATTTTTTTTTTAAATAATAGTTATACGTTAGGTCTATAGCTATATCTCAATAATTAATTTTTTTACATTTTATTAAAAATATTAATTATTTTTAAATTTTAAATAAAATGTAAAAAAAAAATCTAAGATAGCTATTTTGTAGAGTAGAATTTAAGAAAAATTTTAATAAAAAAATATCTTATTAATATTCAGTAGTAAATATTCTATAGCATTTTCTATAGCAATTCAATACATGAATTTTCATGTATTATTTTACGGTATTAAACATTGAAATACGTATTGAGAAAAGGACAGAAGAAAACACTATCATTTCGTGATTACTATAATTTACAACCTTGGCATTAATACCATGATAAGAAATTTGATAAGGCAATTATTGCTTATCACTCTCATTCAAAAGTATGTAATTTTCATGGAAAAAGTTACACACCTCCAAATTACAGTAATCACGAAATGATAGTGTTTTCTTCTGTCCTTTTCTCAATACCGTAAAATGCTATAGAATATTTACTACTGAATATGAATAAGATATTTTTTTATAAAAATTTTTCTTAAATTTTACTCTACAAAATAGCTATCTTAGATTTTTTTTTTACATTTTATTTAAAATTTAAAAATAATTAATATTTTTAATAAAATGTAAAAAAAATAATTATTGAGATATAGCTATAGACCTAACGTATAACTATTATTTAAAAAAAAGAAAAATAGACGACCGGATACGCAAGAATAATAACACGTGGAGAGTTACAAATAAATAACCAAGTACAAATAATTATACAGCATCTCAGGAATTTTACTAGAGAACGCTGGTTTATTCCTTTCAGACAATGAAAAGACCATTTTTCTTATTTTTAGGTCTTCTTCTTCTTCCTCGCCTTAATCCCAACTACTTGGTGTCGGTCACCCTTATCTTAAGCTTCCACTTGACACGATCTCCCACATCATCCACGCTCACATCGCATTCAATATCATCTCTCCATCTCTTTTTTGGTCTTCCGGTACCTCTTCTTCATTCAATATTCATTTCTATAATTGTTCTTACGGCTTTCGATTCTTCTCTTCTCATAACATGACCAAACCATCTAAGTCTTGACACGGCCACGGCGTTGTCACACGTTGACACCCCGCGGTCGTATCAGCTCCTTCTCAGCCACCGCTTCACTGTAAACCGGACCGTTACACACACGCGTTATCGTCGTGGTGTAAAGTCCAACAAATGCCTAGCGTCGAATACCCCGCCGCAATAATACGTCTAGTCAGTCATCTTCGTGACACCGATCTCTTTGGTTACGCCGTCCGTTCGAAAATTCAACCGAACCGCCACGACAGTTGCGATCTTTTATATATCAATCTATAAAACCATCCCAGTGCGACTACTCAATAATTAGTAATTATCTGTAGTATTTAGTAATTAGTAATTANTACTATTGTTACTTTATTTGTTACTTTGTTAATAATAGTATTATTGTTACTGTTGGTTTTTATTTTATCTTTTGTTTTGTGTTAACACTTTTCTTCATTAAACGGCTTTCGCCATTTATAGAACGATCTGTACGGTTTGATTTCTTTCTTCTTTTATTACGACGTTAGTCGCTACAGTCTATTTTCTCTCATCTTATCCACGATTGACGCTACAACTATACTCCTTATTATATGCTCATTTCTTATCCTATCTTCTCTAGTCACTCCCCTCATCCATATCTAAGCATTCTCATCTCTGCTACACTCATTCTCTGCTTTTTCTTATTTTTAGGTGATTTTGATTTTCGTTGAATTTTTTATGTGTGGAATTTTTGATATTTTTTATCAATATTTTCTTACATTGTGTCTACGTCAGTATAAGTAAATTTTTTGTCCTTACGACTTAGTTTTTTTTCTCTCACATTACCTTAAATGGTGAACATTATTTTTATTTTTACCTAATATTCTCATATGAAAATAAAACTGTTTTATTATACTTAATAATTTAAAAAATTATTGTGTCCTTCATTTCTGGAGAGCCTTAAAAGTGCCAAAAAAAGAGAAGAAATGTAATTTTATTTATACAGGCATAATATTCTTATACATTATTGTATATTCATAATAAAACTTATTGTGCCATTCGCTTATGAACAACCTTAAATGTGCTCAACAAAATGAAGAAGCGTAATATTGTGAATGCCCGTTGATATAGGAATGGATTGAGTGTAACACTTAGATATGACATGCAGACGAAATTCAAAACACAAATACCAGGAGTACGCAAAAGAGCACAAAGTATGAGGTGTAGACGTATTGCAAGAGACAAATACTTTGGATATGGGCAAGGATACAGAACAGGGTAGCCGAGAGTGAGGTGCAGACTAAGTGCAAGACACAAATACTCTGAAATGTAGAACACGAAAGTAGATAAATGAAAAGGAAAAACAAAAAAAACTTTATACAGTAAATCGGACAGCGACAACTGAATACAGAGACTGATGAACAACATAAAGCATAAGGCTCCGTACTGGAATCGGCTGATCACGATGACTAGGACTTTTGTATTTAAATAGTAATATGAAGATAGCTAATTTTGTAATAATTATTTTTTATTGTCAATTCATCAATCGCTGGTAATACGTAAAAAAAATCTTAGCATATTATAAAATTATGAGTAAGTAAAAAATATGTAATAAGTTAATTCCATCATATGAAATATTTATTTATTGTAAACATTGTAAATTGTACTTAAGCCAAAATCAATTTACAAATAGCAAAACTAAATTTGTAATATTTTATCTCTGATGTATAACTATGAAATTCGAATAGATATAAAGTTGATATAAAGCAATTTTATTACTCGAGAAATTATACTTGAAAAATGAATTACTATGATCATTAGTAATTTATCATATTTTACTTTTGAACTTGGTTAGACTAAATATAATTTTAATTTTTTTTAGCATCGATTAAATTACAAAATTTATCTATTGTGGACAAAATTTTATTCATTATATTTTGTAATCTTTCAAGTTATAGGTTTAAAAAAAAAAAAGTTATAGGGTAATGATCAATTTACCCAAAATAACTTTAANGGACAAAATTTTATTCATTATATTTTGTAATCTTTCAAGTTATAGGTTTAAAAAAAAAAAGTTATAGGGTAATGATCAATTTACCCAAAATAACTTTGAAAGTCATGTTAGTGGTTTTAACTTAAGATACAGATCTCTAACTTGGTAATTATCTATTAAATATAGCCCGTTAAAAATTTTAATGGGTTTTTTGAATATTGTTTTATTTTATTTAATGAGTAATTAAATTACTTGAATTTTCTAATTAGCAATTAACTCGAAAACTAGAATCAATATGAATATTTTAATTACAACGACGAAAATCTATTTAGAATCTACTATCACATTGATTGGCGTATAAAATTTTTTATTATTTATTAAAGAGTCTTATTTAAATTTTTTTTTTTTTCATAATAGAAGGTCTAAGATTATTAATTATAAGTAATCATGTTACATGAAACAATTATTACTACAAAACATTATATTCAAATCTATAGTAAATTATATGAACAAATTGTAATGACTCTTCCCCAAATTAGATTACAAAATCTTAAAATATGTTAATAAGTAATAAGCATAAAAATTTTACGATTTATTTTTCAAGCAACATTGTCAATAAAAAATGATTGTGTATACATATTTACATGTCTTTATGTTTTCGGTAAGTAAATTCAGTAACTAGATGCATAAAATAAAAAATAATATATTTACATACACTGTAAAATAGGGCTAGATATATCATTGAGCGTAACAAAGAATTCAGATTTTTTGATACTCTAACATTTATTCAAACTTTTTAAGCATACATTTATACTGTTATGCTTTTAGTAGCTATCCAATTAGAATTAGTGTGAAAAACATATTAAGGTTGATAAACGTACAGAAATTTAAATGAAAAAAAAAAATTGTTTACTAACACTAAAAAAGTTTTTTATTTAATAAGGACTAATCTTTTGTGTTATTATTGACTAATCTACCTAGAAATAAAATTTCAAATCAAAACTTTTATAAAATGTTGAAAATTTATATTGTATAAATATTTGTACAGAAACAAACTTGAGAATATATAGATAATTGATTTGATGATACAGTGAGTTGAATTAAATTTGAACTGTCCAAAATTAAAGTTTGCGTTATCATTAGAGCAAACACCGATGTTAAAGATTGATTATATTTTATATTTGAAAAAATGAATAACTATATTATTAGTAATATATCATGTTTTATTTTTAAACTTGGTTAAACTTAATGTGTATTTCAATAGGACGAAGAAACACCACTCAATTGAGATACAGCCCAATTCAACAAAGACAATCGTAATAATGCGAAATAGTATAAATATATATTTTATTGAACAAATTACACTTATTATGTTTTGCCGTTTAAATTACTATCTTATAACCTTTTAAGTTATAGGTTTAAGAGAAAAAAAAGACATAAGAAAAATATCAATTTTGATTATTATTTAGATTCACGGAAAAATGGTACTAGATATTTCACAGGGCGTAACAATGTTTAGTAATGAATTCAGATGTTTTGGTAGCTATCCTAGAAACGAATTATACATTAATATGGTTTCAATATAAAAATCCAAACTGTAACAATAATTTTTTTTTCATTTGAGAGTAATATTCAAAAAACCCCGATGGCTTTGGTAGTGTGCAATTCATTAACATTAAAATATGTTTAGTTAATTATAAAAACTATTTAAATAGTTTCAATATCTTCCTGTTTTTTATTCTGTTTACATACATAATTCACTAATCCTTTTTTTTTCCACACTCGCGCTATTGTGTACCGCCCTGGAACTGCCGTTAGGCATTTCTTCAGGGCGACCTACGCCGTCTATATAACTCACACCACCACGTTAGTCGGATCTGTTGCCTAGGTTGCACCCCGTGTAGGTGGGGTCAGGACTTTGTGAGGGTTGGCGAATGACTTACAATACATTGAAACACATAAACACAATACAAAATCTTTATGGCGCTGGTCGAAACCAAAGAAGCCAAGACCCAGGCCGCCATTCCGGAGACGGCACATGGTCTATAGGCCGGCCCTCTTCTGGACCCAGTTTAGGGCATTCACGTTCTTGGGCGATTACTTTAGAGTATCCACGCAAAGCGGGGACTCGTACAGGAGGACCGAGTAAACGACGTAGACTAGGGGTCAGCGTCGTAGTTATTTCGGTATCCCCAGGTTCGGCATCAGTCCCTCCAAGCAGTCCATTACCCTCTGGACCACTGGGCCGCGCGTTCTATGTGCGGTTCGAACATCAATCTGTCTTCGATGAGTAGGCTCAAGTAGCTCATGGTGCGCTTTAGTGGGACAACCGTCCCCAGGACGGTGAGCCTTGGAGCAACGTACCTGTACTTTCGCGTAAACAAAACCTATTCCGTTTTGTCCAACGCGAGGGACAGGCCGGTTCCCTCCTGCTGGAATTAGACAGTAACGGTACTCAGTGCACAGTTTGCTCGGATACCATCCTCAATAACTCGCAAATCTTATCAAGATGGAAACTTTCATACTAATTTTAACACGCGCGTTACTGGTAATATCTTTATAGTTTCCTAGTGTTCTAGTATCTATTTTTCTTAAAAAAAAAAATAAATAATTCGTTAATCTGTGATATTTACCAATTGCTTCTGTTTTTTATATATTCGCATTTTCATTTTAACAGTTTTGAAACAAGTAAATTATTTTTACGATACCTAAAAAAGAACAATCAGTTTCGAATTTATTAAAAAATTTGTTTGCACATTTGGTTATGATTTTGATACATTTCAAACACACTCACTGTGTTATTGTGTAAATTTTGTGATATTTAAATAAATCATAAAAAAAAATTTAACATCACACAAAATTTAAAAACCAAAAAACATTTAAATTTATTAAACGTGAAGAAATTAAAAAAGAATCACTTACACTTTAAAAATTCTTCATTTAATAAGGACTTGTGTTCTGTGTAATTTTCGAGTAATTTACCTTAAAATAAAATTTCAAATCAAAACTTTCGCATAATTATAAAGTTATATACCTGGATAATTATTTGTTCAGAAACTAACTTGAGCGTTGGATGTATAAATGAAATTTTTGATATTTTTTGAAACAAAATTAAAAGAAGGTGTTTTTACAAATTTTGTTTGACTGACAACAACGTTTGCAACACAGCAAAACTACAACATTGCACCTGTGCAAATTTTGAAAGTTTATACTGAAAAAAATATTTGTACAAAAATAAACTTAAGAATAAATAGAAAAAAGTGATGATGATACAATGAATTAAACTTTACGGAAAAAAAAGTTTGGGTTAACATTGACTAAAACACCAAAATTAAAGATGATTCGGATAAACAATATTTGGTGCATTCAGATCTATTTGATAAACATATTATTCGACTACTTGCAAACTAATCAACAAGATTATTGAAATTATAGATGTTAAACATGGCGATGTATTATTGTTCACATCCGACGCCGCTAAGTACATTATACAAGCTGATAGAACTTTCTAAGTATTTTATTTTAGAATGATTTATGTAACGTAGACGGCTTTTTAACAGCATCGAGTGGCAAAGAGGGTTAGGATGATATATGATTATGTTGAAAAAAGTTTTCTCGTGAAAAAGAGATTCATAAAATAATCATATCGAGTTTAACTAATTATAGATTAAGCTCTATGTTCGTTTTCTAGGTATAAGACTTTACTCGGTAATAATCTTGAAATATTACGTTTTAAAAACTTACACAACCACATTATTAATTATGCATTTTTAAGGTATCTAATGAGAGAACCGGTTAGTTTGTACTTAATGTAGTGTTTCTATTTAAACAATTATTTGCTAACAATATAATTGTTAAGTTATTAAAATTAAGAATTTTAGTTAAAAGTTAGATTTCTATCGGTTTTTTTACAGTTTAAAAGTTTTTTAATAATAATATGTTATATTTTAAGGGACTACTACTTACAACGATTGCCAATGAAATAATTGAATACTTGTCTTTTAAAAACTTACCCGAAGCAAAAGGAGAATTTTATAATTGCTTAAATAACATTGAATTTGACGACAATATACAAATAGATAAAGGTGGAAATCTGAATAAATGTATATCATAAAGTCATTCAAATTCTGTAAATATTTTATAAAACAAAGCATTGTTAAAAAAATGCTAAAAATGATGATATTTTTGTGTTATTTACTAAAACATTTTATTAGATCTTATCATTAATTAAAAAAATATAAAATTATAATTCATTTAATCTGTGACTGATTATTGTATATCACAGCTTGAATTGCAACTTATTTTTGAAAATAGACTATTCTACTTATTACGTATATGCTTAACTCTTTACATTTGTCTATTTGAATACTATTTGTTTTAAGTGTATGATTATTTGAATTTCTTTAGAATCATTATATGCATTTTTAAATGACATAAGAGAAAGTTATGTGTCCGGTAATTTACCACCGATCAATACGAGTAAAGAAGTAATGAAATTCATTGGAATGTTCGGTGATTTAACACTAAATAAGATCAGTAAAGAATTAATGAACTCCAAAGGAGAACAAACATCAAGTATTAAAAAAGATTTAAACATTTGCTGTACTATGTTTCATGAGAGATTGTTCGTAGTTGAAGAACCTATAGTAATATTTTTACTTTACTTTACTTATTTTGTATACTTTTTTATAAAATAAGCAATTTATTGATGGTTCTCATTGAAAAACTATTAGAGTATTCTATAGTTTTAGTTGAAGAATTTAAATTTTTATCAATTTCATTTTAACCGATACGATTATTGAAAATGTAATTCTGCAAAATGTTCTGACAACTCTAAAAAATTTTGATCCAGTTAATAATTTTTGATTATAATTTTATTTTTAATATTTGTTAATTATAAATTGATAAAAGAATAGAAAAAATTAAATCTTTCCTTGCTAAATTATGGTTATAGATAATTTAAATAACTTTTTCTATGAAATATATCAATTATTAATTAAGTGCATGTTATTCAACTTATTAATTTGAACTTATTAAATATTGAAACAAATATTGTGGTTTTATCAAAATAATAAAACCATTGTCGGTTTGTTTTATTGAAATTTAAAATAAATAAACACTTTACTTTGTAATCTGACAGTCAATTTAAATCGAAATTAGCTTAAATTTTTCATCAAAATCATTTAATTTAAAAATTTGTTAAATTTATCAATCAATCGTTCATGACTTTAAATCTATTAACATAAAATGAATTTGTCTGAAAATAATATTTATTTGGTTAGTTTTGCGTAATATTTATATTATACTCATAATTTAGACAAAATTGTAGATCTCACTATTTGATTATGTTTGGTACAGAATGCATTTAGCAAAGATCTAGTAGACCATTTGATACAAACATTGTTGATTATATTATATCGTGTGACAGCTGATCTCCAGCGTCTTGCTTTACTCACCTCCTTGTCCACTTAGCACGGCAAATCGATGACCTCCGCATCAATTGTCATCCGTTTACAGTTCATTGTCGTAAGTCAGTCAATCAATTGTTTTATGTGTCATTTCTTTTTGTAGCAAGCGCCTTCTCTTGAATGGTAAATTGTGGCCATTTTACGCCGTTATTCTTTAATTGGATTGTTGCACTCTTGTGCTCAAAGTTTCCATGCTCTTGCACGCCACTAGTGATTGGGCCCTGATCATCACTAAATATCTTCATTGCCGTAGTTGCTTTTTCGTCTGCTCTCATCTGCCATTACGTGCCTGGATCTGCACTCTGACTCGTCATTCTCAGATGTTCGACAGCATCACCACAAGATCTCATACAGTCCACTCATCACTAACAACAACTTCATCTATTCAGATGAGTTTAATATTATTTTTAATGTTATTTATTGTTTGTTTTAATTGAGATTAACTATTTTGTTTTATGCCACCTCGCCGAACATTATTATTTAAGGCCCCCAGTTAACGTTTAAATTTAAGATACTCACTGAATGAAGAATTTCTAATATATATGGTTATTTGTTATTTAATTAATGTCTACTCTCGTTACTTATTGGATGTACAATTACAGAAATTTTCAATGCACATTATGTGATAAAACAAATTATTTAAAGTTTAGTGTCTCTAGTATCCTGTAATAATCAAATGAATATATTAAAGTAATAAATATAGGGATTAATATTCATCAAGCTGGGAAGTTAGGTTTTGTCAAATGGTCTGCATTGAGTTTCTATTGTGGTTTGTAAAGTTCGAGTGTTTAGAACAATGAAGAAAAGTAGATATAAGAAAAAAATAATTAGTAGTTATCTTTTGTGCCGTAAGAAACACAAAAATGTTTTAGTAGAGTCGTGGAATTATGAGGACGTGACATATTTGTATGTAAGGAACAAGTATATATAATTAATTATCATCACTCTGATAAAAAAACACTTCGACACCAATTTGTTAAATTTCACAATAATTTGTATACACGTTACACAAATAGCAATTGTAAAATTACAAGAGCTATTTATTTGATCAATTGCTTTATCATTCTTTACTCACAGATTATTAATTCTAAATAATTGGAGTAATGTATATTCACTTACTTTGTCTTTGATTGCTTTTTCAACTATAATTCGCAAAGTTTAAACATAACTTTCTTATACACTTTTGAAATTTTTGACGACTCAAAATGTAAAAATTATGTGCATCGATGACAACATGGGACCGCGACTAATAATTCTTCGTAAAGATAAAATATTTGATTAAGACATGATTGGATTTTGTGAGAATTTAGCCTTTTTAGATGGCATCTGATTAAATAAATTATTTACAATATTGTCCTTTTTTTTACTAGTAAAAACAGACGATTTTATTACCAGAAATCACAATAATAATTAAATCAATAGAATAGTATAACTATTAAGTTGCTAGAGAAATATAAGGATATGTACCATGGAGCATGTTGATCGCTGACGATATAGTGTTAATAAGAGAATAAGGAAGAATATGTGGTTTGACAAAGGAGAACACGAGATAGGTGAAATGAGGAGATTAGTGACAATAGGTGAGAACCTGATTGGAGAGGTGGAAAATTTTAAATATTTAGGATCAGTTGTGCAAAATGGTGGTGGTATTGACGAGGATGTAAGACACAGGACTAAATGCGGGTGGGTGAGGTCGAGAGAAGCATCTGGGGTGTTATGTGATAAAAGAATTCCAATGAGACTGAAAGGTAAGTTTTATAAGACTGTAGTAAAATCAGCTATAGTGTATGAATCAGAGTGTTGGGAACGTAGAGCAGAGAATTACTGTAGCAGAAGCGAGAATTCTAGAATAGATGAATGAATTGACTAGAGAAGATAGGATAAAATACATAATTTGTATTTTAGCTTCGACGCGAAGCGCAGAAGGTATTAATTTTACTATGATGTGTTTTTTTTTTTATTTTTATNACTTTTAGCTTCGATGCGAAGCGGAGAAGGTATTAATTTTACTATGATGTGTTGTTTTTTTTTTTATGTCTGTTGCCACTTTTTCTCAGCTCTCACTGGACCGATTTCTTTCAAAAATACGTCAAAAGATCACAAATCGTATCTAGTTGAAGAAATAATCCATAAAAGTTGAATAAAATTCCCTCGTTCCCCGCAAATGGGAGAAATATCCAAAAAAATTACAAATTTAAAAATTGCTATTTTCGAAATTTTTTCACTTTTTTTTCTTAAAACTTCCATAACTTTTTGAAAAATCAACAAATCAACATAATTTTTTTTTATACTAAGATCTTAGATATCTACCTTTCATTTGATATCATTTTTTTCAAAATCTATCACTTAACCTGCTCATTAGGGGGGGATTTAAAATAGTAACTTTTTTACAAAAATTAACTTTTTCAACTTAATTTTTGAAAATGTTTCGGAAATACTGCGTCTTCAAACATATATCAAATTAAGTTTTTTTTATATACTATAAAATGAAAAAAAAAAATTTGTCCCGACACTTTTTCTTCTACATTTAAACGGCGGCCGTAGTTATAAAAACACTATTTTTGTGTTAAAATTTTTCGATTTTCGATTTTATATTTTCAACTTAAAAATGCTATAACTTTTTGAAAAATGTATATATCAGCACAAATTTTTTTTTTCTAAATACATTATAAGTACATCTTTCATTTGACATACTTTTTATTAAAATTGGACAATTTCCCCTTATATAGGGGGCGTTCAAAACTTAAAATATTGTAAAAAACATAGATCTTTTTCAACTGAACTTTTGAAAATGTTCCGGAAATACTGCGTCCTTTAAACATATATCAAATTAAAGGTTATGTTATATACTATCAAATGAAAAAAAAAAATTTGTCCCGACATCTTATCTTCTATGTGCAAATGGCTGTCGAAAATTTAAAAAAAAATGTAATGTTTGCGATAAAAATTACATTTTATCGGGATGTTTTTTGTACTTAAAACTGCCATAACTTTTTCAAAAATGAACAAATAAAAATAATATTTTTTTGTATTGAAACCTTAGATATTTCCCTTTCATTTGATATAATTTTTTTTGAAAATCTAACACTTATTCTGCTCACTGGGAGGATTTAAAATAGTAACTTTTTTACAAAAAATAACTTTTTCAACTTAATTTTTGAAAATGTTCCGGAAATACTGCGTCCTTTAAACATATATAAAATTAAAGCTTATTTTATGTACTACAAAATGAAAAAAAAAATTTGTCCCGACGACCTATCTTCTATACCGCAAATGGCTACCATATTGAAAAATATACTATTTTTGTATGAAAATTATGGGTTTTGTATTTTATTTTAATAGAAGTTGATGTTGCTTTTGCAATTATCCAACAATTTTTTAAAATTAAACACTATCTACAGATTTGCATCGAAGCGTTTCTTATGATAGTGATTTTAATCACTGTCAGATTAAATCTATTTTTAACTACGGCAGCCATTTAAATCTCGAAGAAAAAGTGTTGGGACAAATTTATTTTTTCATTTTATAGTACATAAAAAAAGCTTTAATTTGATATATGTTTGAAGGACGCAGTATTTCCGGAACATTTTCAAAAATTAAGTTGAAAAAGTTAAATTTTGTAAAAAAGTTGCTATTTTAAATCCCCCCCAATGAGCAGGTTAAGTGATAGATTTTGAAAAAAATGATATCAAATGAAAGGTAGATATCTAAGATCTTAGTATAAAAAAAAATTATGTTGATTTGTTGATTTTTCAAAAAGTTATGAAAATCTAATTTACACCTTGATTATTTGTTATTTTTTTTTTTTAATTTTTGATAAATTAAAAAATATATATATTATTTATTATAAAATTTTTAAAACTCCCACAAATATTAAAATAATAGTAACAAAAAATATTAACTGAAACAATAGTTATTAGAGTTTCCTGAACGCGCAGGACCATTATATATAAATAAAAATAATTTATTTATTTGTATATTAAACACACTATAAGAAATATAATTGAACTAGATCAATAGAATTAATTGATATTTACTATTTATAGTTAACTATAAACAATGATATTGTTGCTATGGCTTTAAAAAGATATGATTCAGCTGTAATTATGCTTTATGACTGCTTCAAAAAGTATGGATGTTTACCACATATTAATGAAAGTAAGTAGTACTAATACATGATGTAACAGACAAATATATAAACAGAATAAAAAAAGTTCTAAAACCAAAGTTTCATTTATCATTAAATTAAAAACGATATTTTGTTTAAATGCCAATCAAATCATTTTGTCCTTTACTAAAATTCACAACTGATCTGAAAAACAAACGAGTGTCCTATCAAAAAACGATTATTTTATACGATTTATAATCATTATTTTTTCATTATATTTTCTACATTTTAAAGAATAATTTTTTATTTAATTTTTTTTCAATTTACATTCATTAAATTCATAATTGTAATCTAGTACAATTTATGTATTTGTATAATATATATTTCTTAATGTAATAAATTATAATGAAATTTTAGGGAAATTTAATAATGATTAATAGTAGTTCTATAAAGTCTGAGCTGGATACCCTCCTAACCCACATGTTGTGGGTTTACCCTGTCCTAGGTGGACGGGCGGTGTAAACAACCGGGAGGGGGATATGGTGAAAGGCATAGTCCCCCCACCCACATGATGTAGGTTACCCTGTCCTAGGTGGACGGGCGGTGTAAACGGCCGGGGGGATATGGTGAAAGGTCGATGTTTCTCGTTCCTAGATATCATTTCGTTATACCATGGTACATGTTACCATGATATATGCATAGTATACCTAGGTAGAAGGAACATCATATAGTATATCTTGATATTATACAGAAAATTAGAGGTATTTTAAAAATTACATAATTTTAGAATTATATGAAAATATTTGAATGCAAAAAAGTGAAAGGTGTAATCAAGCGGCGACGGCGGCTATTAATCCCACGAAACCCAACTTTAGCTATGTGACGTGTATGCTTTTGACCATAGAGAGTTCCCTTCCTTGACTAACGTAGTTATTAAAACTGTAAATCAGCGGTTTACCCCAACATAGAAGGGGAGGTGATGATGAAACTCATCATAAGGTGATCATTATTATGATATTAAAGTAAATAAATAAATATGTACATTATTATACTATTTCATAAGAATTGAGTTATTTTTTAATTAAAGAGAAAATATTTAAAAAATCGATAGTTTAAATTAATTATTATGATATTAAATTACATTATTGCGTTTGTTAATAGATATATTTTTTGTTAATGTGTAAACGTTATTGGATAAGACATATGTATACATATTGAGTATACACATACTCTATTACATATATTTGTATAAAAATATTTAGAAATCGTGACTTTAAATTTAATTATTAGGATATTAAAGTGAAATCACTTAAGTGGTGAACGAAAAGGCTAGTTTACAGAGATATGTGATCTGTAATTTGCCGACCCTCGATGAAAATATGTGATTTTTCCGCATAAATGAGTAATTTCACATAAAAGACTGAGTATTACTTGAGTAAAATTAATAGTGTTGTATCACTTAAACGTTTTAAAAAATGTTTTCTTGTGACAAGTGTGAAAAAGTGTACGTTGTCAAAAAACTGTTTTTAACTGCTGCATAGGAATATACATGACGGTATACGATTTAAGTGTTATTTATGCTCATCTACTTTTTCGGACAAATGCGGACTTGTACAGTTATCATATATTGTATACCCTGGTATATTCATAGTATACTGAGGTAGATGGAACATCATATAGTATATCTTGATATATTATAGAAAATTGGAGCTATTTTAAAAATTACATAATTTTAGAATTATTTGAAAATATTTGAATGCAGAAAAGTGAAAGGAGTAATCAAGCGGCGACAGCGGCTATTAATCAAACGAAACCCAACTATAGCTATGTGATGAGTAGGCCTTTGGTCATAGAGAGCCCTCTTACTTGAATAATTAAAACAGTTAATCAGCAGTTTACCCCTACATAGAAGAGGAGGTGATGATGAAACTCATCATAAGGTGATCATTATTATGATATTAAAGTAAATAAAGAAATATGTGCAATATTTCATAAGAATTCAATTATTTTTTAATTTTAGAGAAAATATTTATACGTTTGAAATAATATTTTATCAAATTCTTTTTTGATTATTCAGTTACACTACTGCGTTTGTTAATAGACATTAATGTGTAATCGTTTTTGTATAAAACATGTATACACATAATCTAATACATATATTTGTATACAAATATTTAGAAATCGAGAGTTTAAAATTAATTATTATGATATTAAAGTGAAATCACTTAAGTGGTGAAGGAATGGGTTAGTTTACGGGGATATGTGATTCGTGATTTGCTGACCCCCCTATGAAAATATGTGATTTTTCCGCATAAATGAGCGTGAAATCGTTGATAAAGTCACAGTGTCATCAAGAACCCTCAGCTCTAAGAAGAAGACTCTATGAACAATATGGCTGCCGAACCTGTAAGAAAACAGCGCTACATTTATATCGCACCAACACCGCCAGCCGAGATGATTGACTCTAGCAGTTACACTATTGCGTTCAGCGACAGAAAATTTTTGCAAGTGGGCCTGAATCCAAAGGATGACTTCAATGTTACGGTATGCATTATTACTCCTTCACGATATATTAGTATGTCAGCAGATTATTTAAATATTATTTACGGCATGATGGATGAAATATCATTATTTCTACAATCACCTCCGGTAAAAGGAGAGAACATTATGTTATACCAAAATGTCGATTTTAATATAACCAAAGTATTGTACCGTGATACCATGCATTTAGTATTAGAATCCAGAATAGTGGATGGGTGTCGAGTGTTATTGAATAACGAAAACATTAATAGACTTATGGACTTACAGTGTACTATTAACAGTGCAATATCAAGAAAAATAAAAACACGTTTACTATTAAGCCATCAAATAGACCGCATTATACAATACGCCGATAGTAAATGGTCGGGCCCTAAAATTCAACAATCAAACAATGATGAAATGATTAATTTTATAAGAAGTTTGAACGACAAAGAAATATGTGATACTATTCCTAAAGGTGACAGTAAATACATAAGCGAGCTGAAGAATTTAGCATACAATGTAATAGTTGATAGTTGGGTCAAGTCATGGTCCAAAGACATGCTTCAAATTAATGTGAGTTTAATGAACATAGATTGTCATAACCTTTATTGTTATTAAATTTATAATTATGCTTTAGGAAAAAGAAGAAGAAATGTGCGATGAAAATGATGGTCCAACATTTTTCAATACAACAGTGTATAGCCAAGAAACTAGAACTACTATTAATTTTATAAATCTATGATCCATAATTTAAAGGGCATTATATCTAAACCTTGCACTCTTAACATAATGTTTGTCATAATTTTTTTTTATAAGGCTTTAAATTATGTTTTGCTTAATTTTTTTTCTCTTTGTTTCTTAAAATTCACAGTTTTAATCTCTTATTGTTTAATACTAATTATATAATATTTTAGGGAAATTGAACCATGACTCATTTCGTGAATCTACGATCCGTAATTTAAAATACGTTATCTCTAAAACTTCCACTCCTCAATATATGGTTAATGTTGTTCGAACTTTTCTTTTTGGTAATAATCCCATTGAATTTGGAAAATATTGTTCTGCAGCTTATTATACTTTAATAACTTTAGTTGAAAATCACGTAAGTAATATTTACGATTTCATTTATAAAAATCATTTGTATTAAATGAATTATTCCTTTATTATGAGAAAACTGTAGCACAGTGGGGTCGCACATAATGTGGACTTTGCATAATTCTATATTGTAATATTTACGGAGACATTAAAAATTATAAAATAGTTATTATTTTTATGGCAAACGTGTCTAAAAGTTGAAGAGCTTGATGCAATACTTTTCAAAAAAAATTGTTTATTAATTATGAATAAATTTATTGGTGTACAAGGATTTTTCATGAAACACCAAAATATACATTTCTAACCCCATTTTTGCGCCGATGACATATCAGCAATTAGAGTTTTGCAAATGGACTAAATAATAACAAAATCCTTCTAATTAGTATAACAAATATTTATGTTTGATTATTAGGTTACGTATGGATAATCAATAAATAGATTTTAATTAAAAAATTAAGTAACAAGCAAACTGTATTATATGTAGTACATCAATATAAATAATGATTTAAACATCAATAATTATATAGAAATGATTACGAAGACTTCTATTTAAATTATTTATTGCAATAAAAATACAAAAAAATAGAGATTATAACGAAATTTTGAGATTTCCAGATAAATTTACTGTTGATAGTAATAATATAAGTTCCTGATCACATATCAATCTAAAAAATACAATATTTTATTCCTTATAAAATTTCCTATTTAATGATATAATATCTGAACTTGCAAGTAGAGCTAAAATTGTGTTTAAAAGTTCAACATGTTTGAATTATAAACTTTCATAAAAATCAATTTTAAAGTATCAAAAAAATAAGTTAAAAATGACATTTTAATTTGAAATTATGCACGGATTATTTTTAACATATTATCTTGAAAAAAGTTTGAAATAGTATATTTATACTACTACGTAGTAGGGGGATAGGACCAAATTTTTCTTGAACATTAATGAACGTAGGATATTATAAACTTATATAGAAAAATTATACCAAGTTTTGTATGTGCGAAAATTGTGGTAGTTATACTTAAGCAATCACCTGTATATATTTGATTCATAAAATTTTACATAATAAAATTAACGAAATAAAATAAATATAAATATATAATTGAATAATCATTCGATCTTAAACAAATTATATTATATAGTAAATTAAAATTAAGAAAAATGAAAAATTAGGCTGGGGAGGGTTTGATTTACTAAAATTGAAGAATAAGTTAAATAATATCCCCCTTCTAATGCGGCGTATACTATCATTGGTGACTTAATTATGGTCTCACCAGTACCTAAAACTACTAGTGACGTCTTACTTGACCAAAGCGATAAAAAAACTGCATTTTTTTACTTGGTATATTTTATTATCATTGTTTCTTAATACATCGTCAGCGCTGCTTGTGTTTATTTATTTATCAATAATATTAGTTATTCCATTGTATCATAAATTAAAATAATGTGCTTGTATTACAAAATGCTTCTACATAGTAATTGAAGTCGACTTATACAATGTATATGGTAATGGACATATTACAACAATTATTTCTTGGTTTTATATTATGAAACGTATTTTATTACTTTTTAAGAATTGTTTTACCATAAATAACAAAATTAAAAGCAACGTATATTCAACAAAAAATTCAAATTTTGTTATCTTTATTTTGTTTGCATTAAAACCATATTTTAATTTTTTTCATCGCTTATTTTTATTTTTCAGTCTCTGGTTTGTTCTGGATGAAAATTACTAAGCATCTCTTAAAAATTTTTAAGATTTTCCCATTAATTGCGATTTGAAAACCGGAACTTATAATAAACTTTAATAAAAAAATTTTATATTCTGTTTACATATTTTGATTATTGGTGCAACCTGTATGGGTTGGAGGGTTGTAAACCCTCCTGCCATATTTTTAGCGATGTTTGAATTNGTTTTCCCCCCCCCCCTGCCATATTTTTAGCGATGTTTGAATTTTTTAGTCGTGTATAAACAATTTATAGTAACAAAAAAATGATCATTATTAATTTTAAAATTATAACTCCTCAAAAAATTATTTGCTAGTTGCGCCACTAATTTTAATTAGCTTTGTATTTAATTCATAATAACTCATTATTATAATAAGATTTCAATTCAAAATATAATTTTAGTTTTGACAATCGATAAAATTCTATTTTATTTTATAATTATGTATAATTATAATATGACAATATATTGTCCTATTTTAACTATTTATTACTTTAAACTTTAAACGTTTATTCGGACATTTTTCACATATATTTGGTTTATATTTTATTTATGTATGTGTTTATGATAAAAATAACTTGCAAATACATTATTCACATTTAACACAACTGATATACAGTGTAAAATGTAAGGATTTTTCTCATTTACTCGATTAAAATCTAAACTAACTAACGTGAATGCTTTGCCACCACACCTCTCTGATTTTAATTATCTAGACTTTCTACTCTACAGTAATTTTTTTTAGGCTTTTTATAAATTATATATAATTGATTAATTAATCTTTCAATAAACCTAAAAGTCATAGGAAATAATAGAAGAGTGCTTTGGCTATTTAGGATACCATGGGATAATGTTAACATCCCTAAGCCGATGATACTGAGTCCCTCCTAACAATACGCGGCAACAGTATAACCACTACCACAATTGATAACGGTTCGGTAACGTTATCAATCAGCCGGCCACCTGTTACTCACATGTATATCACAGTAGATTTTAAGGCTAAATTTAAGTTCGATAGAATAATTGTTGATTGCTCAATAAAGATTTTGGATTATAAATTTATTATTGAATATTATTTCATAGTGGTCATAAGGGCCTTTATATAAATTAGTCGTAATTCTAGTCCAAGCTGTGATATTAATCTGAACTGTAATATTTGTTTGAGATTTATGTTAAAAGATTGTGTTGTAGTCCAACTGTTTAAATTGTATTATTATTTGTATGCATTTAAGTTAAGAAGTACCTGACCAGTTCCAATTAGTAATGAGTACTTTTGTTATTTGTGTCAAGTATTTCTATATTGAGTGTGAATTACTGAACAGATTTGAATATTTAGTGTAATTTTTCTTTTAGTCTATTTTTTATTCCATCACTAACCAGAAGAGTCTTGTGTATATTGTTCTAGTCAAAAATCAGAAGAATATTTGTTAGATATTATTGTGGGCCAATTATTGATTATTAGTATTAGTGTTATTATTTTATGCATCTGTTTAGTGATCCACCAAGATAAGTATTAGCTAATTATTATTATGTTTTCCTTTTAATACCACTAAAGTTATTCGTTTAGTTTTAAGATTATTATTGAGCAGAAGGAGCTAACATATTGAAACTGTTAATTTAGTTACCATATTGTTGTATTTATAAGTTATTTTTATAGATATTATGTATTATTATTATTTTACAAAAAGAGTGATTTGAGAGTTTTAAATATTACTTGAAGGGTTACATTTAATCATTATTGATTTTTATTTTTTATTAATACATCTGAGATAATTGCAATTGAGTATTTCATTATTATTTAGTTTAAGGTAATGATGGGCATAATCGAGATATTTCGATTATTGAAATCATATCTATTATATAATTGAGATATTCTGATTTTTTAAATAATATTGATTATTCTATAATCGAGTGATTATTTCTAATGATTTCTCGTTTATTATAAAAACAATGATTTCTTGATCTTGAAATGTATATAATCGAATAAAAGTTATTTCGAATGATGTCCATGAAACGATGAAACGAGAGAATACTATTTTTAAGTTTTTATTTAGCATAAATTATAGTCGAATTATTATTAAATTGTTGACTTCGAGTCTTCTTATTTTCAACTCGTTCAATCGCTACTCATGACAACACCTTATCTGTCACATTTTTGGGAAGTATGTGACGATTAGAACAAAGTTTTGTCCTGAACTGGCTAAACTACTGAGTTCTGATTCTCTCACTAGTTGTGAATTTATGAAAAATCAATTAGGTGTGGAATCAGGTGTTTTAATTATGATGGTCAAGCCGGCTATTGCTACCTTATCTTGTGTTTTTATTTTTTAATTTGTTATCAGTTTTTTTAAAATATAGGTAATAATTATTAAATAATAAAAATAACAACTTGTCTTTTATTTAAAGCACTTATTAATAATGCATTATTAATATATGATTGTTATTATTATTCCTAAATTATAGTTTAATATAATAATTATAAATAAACACCAACAAATAAAAAAGCAAAATTAAATTAATAATTATTTACTATAGGTATATTTATTCATATTTCGAATAATTTTTCGATTCTCTCGATAAATAATAATAGTTGATTATTCTTATCATACGAGCAGACGATTTTAACTTCGAGTGATTTTTCGAGAGATTCACTCGATTATGAAAATGTCTTGATTACTAATCATTCGATTATGCCCATCACTAGTTTAAGGGCACACACAAAACATATATACACACTTTGAGCACTACATAAATCACTGGTCTTGCGGAGGCGACCCCTCCCACCACCAGTGATTCTATTACCACACTACACACTAACAGATTGGTCAGCCTTGGAGTCGTATACCAAGAGGCAAGATCATTGGTAAAATGGCGTGGTGACCGGGTGAAGTATTTTACTGTTTAATACCTCCCGGCCCGTACAATAGTAATGTTTTGGTTTCATCAATTATAGTTGAAATACTACATGAAACGTTTTTACGTACTTACTTTATATAAGTTTATATTACTCAACTTAAAATTACTAATCATATGAAAGTACAACACAATGTTTCTTAAGTAATCAACTTATTTCGTTTTATTTAGAAAAGAAACAAACAATATCTTTAATGAATAATTATTTATTATATCTGTCTTACTTTAAGAATTAATATTATTACGCAAAAAGGAAAATATAACCCTTTGCATCACGGTTGGTAAGGTATTGTTACGAGCACCGTTGCAAGAGATTAAAAGAATAAAGGGAAAAGTCAATTATCTCTATCACGGTTGATAACACAAAGGTTATGATCACTGTGAAAGATTAACTAACTTAAAAAAAAGAAAATTTTATATATAAATCTTCGATTACGGTTGGTAACAGTAAATCAATAAAGTTGCGAGCACCGTTTATAATTCTATATATCAAATTTAGAAGGTTTAGGAAAGAAATTATGGAAAACTTAAACAATGATGCAGCGTCCAATCAATGGCAATTATTGCGAACAATGTACTAACATTAATAGATATTACAATAATTGTACATTTATTTAATTGAAATTGTAAATTCCTGTTTTAACTGATATGTAACATAAAAATGGTTTACAGGCATTATTATTTATCTTATAAAATAAAATTATAATCTTTTGAATAAAATTTGCTGTGCAGCGCTGTCCAACACTTTCTTGTAACTGAAAAACGGCAGTAAAGCTGTAGCAGGACGCTACATACAGTAATAGGAAAAAATGTGTGGCGGTCGAATGTTCTAGAATATTCGGCCGCCGCCGCCTCTAGAAGATTCGTCGCTCTACATAAGCGTGTGGCGGTCGAATGTTCTAGAGAGTTCCGCCGCCGCCTCTAGAAGATTCCTCTGACTATTTAAGGGCAAGATCGTCGCTCCAGTCAATCACTTACGCATTTTGTCTTAAACGCGCTTCGTCTCTCGCTGTTATTTGTTAGTTCGTTGTAATATAGTATAGTTGTTATTAAATCGTAAAAGTGTTTATTACTTCTATATATTACACCTCGCTACAAATGTATTTATATATAATGTTATACATAGTTAAGGCAATGATACGGGAAAGGCACCAAGTCCATAAAAAAATACATTTTATGTTTTTTTTTTTTTAATGTAGTAATTACAAATGTAAATAATAGGGTCAAAAATTTAAGTCAAATTCAGTACAAAACAAAAATAATATTAAAACCAAAAAGACCCTCATCGTAGTCTACGCGGCATGGATAACAGGCTTTTTTCTTCTCCTATAAAATTTAGTTTTTGTGACTACACCTTTCTCATATCATTCACAATTATTATTAATTAATAAACATATAAAAGAATGTTGGTACAACATTTTGAGCGGAGTGAGAAAAAATTCAACTGCACTTTAAACTACAATCTGCTATTCTGAACTTCAAAAATATAAATTTGTATTAGAATAATTACAATTTTTCGAACATAATTATTTATTTTTATCATGGTTGCGATTTAAGATAGATAGATATCACAAATATGCACATCTAGTACAAAATAACAAAAAAATATGTATTGAATAATATGTTGTAACGGGACAACATTCGTGCAATGTAGAAGGCGTTGTGCATTGTTTCCGTCAAATATAACCGTCAAACGTGCAGGTTATAAGATGCACACAAGCCCGGAAACTTTTTTAAAAGAGATTCAATAATTTTATTAGAAATAAATTGTACTGATAAATGTAATGATAGATGACCATATATGCACTCAGGGATAGTTTAAAAATTAATCTACTGAATAAAGTAACCTTTAGTTATTGTCTAAATGGTGACAAAAATAAGCCAGATTTGTAAAATTAGGTATAAACAATTATCAAATTCACAGATAAAGCGGACGAAGCGCACTACAAAATCTTAACGGGGTCTTATAAACATCGTGGTCTCAAAGTCTAAATATGCTTGTAAATATTGTAGCAAATAATTATTTCATTTCTTTAACAATAATGGTTCTTTGTTGAGCTACTTTACAGAAAAAATAAATTTTCTGCTACTATCTCTTATACTCTAAACTAGGGTGACCATACGTGTCATTTAAAACGGGATTGTCCCGTTGTCTCGACAAAATACAAACGGAACGCTTTTTATCCCATTTTTTCATATCATTATATAATATTTATAAAATAGAAAAAAATTAGATTTTTGAAACAAATATAAAACACTTTTATATATAAAGGTGAATTCCCACGACTGGTGTACTTGCCAAATATTTGTCACTTGTGTATACTTGTACAATTATTGGTCAGTTGTCAGTTTTGACAACTGACCGAAAGCGGATTGTTGGTAAATGTGACACAAGTCAAACGAATTAATGGCTTGTACCAATAATTATTCGATATTTCAATCTACAAGAGGAAGTAAAAATCAAAATGTTAGAATTTACAAACTTACAAGGTGAAACGCGGATATTTTGTCTAGTTGCACAATGGATGTTCTAGAGCAGTAAAATAGTCGCTTTTTCGGAGATACTGCAACACAAATTTTGGTGGTGTCACAAGAAGAGGAATCAAAAATATTTTTGCAATTATCAACAAAAATTTAAAAACTCAAATATCAGACATTGGTGTACGGCTCATATCTTACACGACGCAATGTAAACTAGTACGGACATTTTACCAATCGACATTCAATCCATAGTTAATAAGATATATCATTATTTTCACACATATATTGTAAACAAATTCAAAGCATTTTGTGATTTTTTAAATGTCGAGTACAAAAATATTTCGGATACTGTTAAAACACGGTGGCTAAGATAGCAGACAGCTGTTACTAAACGTAATTAAAAACGTATTTTGTAATTCAAAATTAATGCCCTACAATTCTAAAACAGTTTTTCGATAATCTTATCTCTGTTGTATAATTATTTTTATTTAAAGCCAATTAAAAGTAGTGTGCAACGAATTAATGAAAATTAAAAGTGGTAATATTTTGGCGAGTTTTCATCCTCCTTAAACTTAAAAGCCTCATAATTCACTGAAAATTAAATAAATTATTTTTTTCTTGCTTAGCAAATCAACCTTAATTATATTTGGTTTATCGATATTCCAATCGAAATAACTTTTGGGAGTGAAACATAAGAATTTTCGAAGCCAAAGTATAAGGAACACCATTAAATCGGTGACATAAACAAGTCGAACTACGACTTCATAGTATTATGAAATAATATCGTAATATGCACAATTGCACATCTTACAAAAATTTTATAATCTATTACTTGTATAAAAACGAATAATTAATTTACCTGCCAACATTTATTCTGTTGTACACTTTTTATTATATATGTATCAACTTGATTATTGTTAACTATGCATCTTAAAATACTAAACATGTAATGTTCAATTTAATACAATAAACAAATATTCCTTAAAAGCACTGACGACAGTATCCCAAGATAGAAAATGATAATTTAATTATTATAGATAATATAAAGAGCTTAGTTCTGCTCACATGCCAGAGAGTTCTGGTTTCAGTCTAGAATTCAGTTCCATTTTTAATTAAATTCCTTTATGCGAAATCATTTTATTAGCCGCAGTTTGTCATTGGCTCATTTTAAGTGTAATTAATTTAAAATTTTTGCGTTTAAAAAAAAAATATTTATTTTTTATAATAAAATAATAATAATGAAAATAAATATAAATCTCAACGTTATTAAAGAAAATATAAGTTTCATATTTTTAGATTACGAGACATTGAATTTCTTTTAATTATGACGAATTATAAAGTAAGTGGATATACATTACCTCTATTAATAGTATTAATAATCTAAGCAAAAAATAATAAAGCAATAGAATAAATACAATTTATTATAATCATTAACATTAAGAAAATTTCCTTAAAATAATAGGTAACAAAGTGTTAATAATTAATTTATTAATGTGAAGTTCTTCATTATTCTTATGAGTACTATGATTTTTCTAAATGCCCAAAAATTATATAAGTTAATAGAAATATAATTGTACATAATAATTTTACATTATACAATTTTGATTAAAATAAGTTAAAATTATTTATGGCACAATATTAGTATTTCATCAAATAAGGTAAATAACAAAAATTTTGTAGATACAATTTTAAAGATTTATCTAAAAAAAAAAAAATATATATATAATCTTCAATTTATCATTCACAATACCTTTGTTAATATTATAAACATTACAATAAAAAAATATGCACAAATTAGTATAAAGTAATTATTTGTTATAACATGATACTAATATAATGGTACTAAAATAAAACTTAATCTAAATCAATATGCTACATATAGGAAGACAGTCTTGATAGAAAAAAATGCATAAGTAAAATAAATGCAAGTATGGCCATGGAAATAAATCATAATTGATAATTAAAGCATTTATGACTTTCAGATTTTTACTAACAGAAAATAAAAATAAAATCATTTATTTATCTAAAAGCAAAAAAAAATTACAACAAAAACTTTCATTTAAATTTATATTTTATTAATAACTTTGTATTATTAAAATTAACATGAGTATAAATAAATTTTTTTTTTTTTTATAAAACATTGATTTGTTTTAATTTAAATTAATAATAACTTATAACAATGAACATACATTTATCTGATAAAACAATTTTCACAGCCTTTATTATTTTATTTTTTAATTTTAATAAATACATCCAACCATTTCATTATATAATTCAATACATAAAAAAAGTATATTGGAATGATAAACTATATAATTTTTTATAATCAACAATAATAAATATTTTATGTAATAATTGAATGAAAAATGATAAGAACTACATTTTTTTCAACATTGGTAAATTTAAAATTTCTGGTACATCTATATCTTCAAGACGTATATTAGATGGATGAAAAGGGAATGTAATGGGATACTCATATTTAGTGTCCATTAATAATTTTTCCTACAAAAAAATTAATGAAATTGTCATTTAAGTATACAAAAAATTTAATTGAATGAAAGTTACTTTATCTTGACATTCAGGTCGTTCTTCTAATTTATCTTTTACTCTTCTTATAAAATCCATAGATATGCGATCTTCACAGTCATCAGTAGGTTTAAATGAAGTAAGAAGCTTAACAATCTATAATAAATTTTTTTACAGGTTTAAATATAAATATTACTTCATCTAATAGTGTACTCGAATATGGAGTACTTAAGGTTAAAATTAACTGCAAACAATTCTATAATTACTGAATATAAAATGTTAAGTTTTTTTTCTTAAGAGTAATGGAGAACTAAATATGTATATTTTAAATTATTTTAATTAGTAGATGAGATAGTTAATAAAATAAAATAAAAAATAATAATATAATATAAAAAACCTAAACTAATACAATCTAAACAAAAATATTTCAATTAATAAAAGTCTAATTTATGTTTTCAGCAGCACTTACTTGATTAGCATTCATTTTGTCACACATTTCACAAATGCTACTAACATCATCGTCTGTCTTTCTAGCTTGCAATAGTTGTGATGCTTGTATAATGGGTAATAATGTATTAACCACTTCTTGAGGCTATTTTTTAAACAATAGTTAATAATGGTAAAAAAAAAAAGTGTAACAACTTCTAAATTCAATTTAAATTTACTTGGAATAATATATATCAAAACTCACATGTGAGATTTTATCTCTAATCCATTGCTCAAGATGTGATAAATTAAATCGAATTGACATTCCTTTAGCCCAGTAACTTAAATCTTTTCGTAATAAAAGATTATTTAATGCATTAGCACAAATATAATAGTACAGCTGTAAAAAATTGAATAAAATAAATATAAGAAAATATAAAATACCTTTTTATTTTATTATAATACCTGTTTAAATATTTGAACAATGACTTCGATATCTATTTCGTGGGCCATAAGTTGGCTATACATGGAATTTAATTCATTTTCCAGAGTATTTGTAGTTGGACTAGGTGGAGATTGAAGTGAATTTGATTTTAGTGAACCAAAACTACGTTTGACATTACGAACAGAATCAATACCAAGTGAATCATGTTCTAAAACGGCTGGCACAATCATTGGTCTTATAGTTTCTTGCATTTTATGTATTAATTCCTTAAACATCATAATAAATATAAAATAATACTTCTATTACTTCTATTGAAATAAGTTTAAAAAAGTTAATTTTACTTGATACAGCAATACAGCATGATCACAAAATACTTGACGGTAATCAGCTAAATCAAAATTTTGTAAGACCTGAGAGTTTTGTTTACTAGTATTATCACTAGCAAAGGCAGGTTCACCGCTATATTGTTTAAGTATATGAACAAGTCTTAAAGTATTAGAAAGCCATAAAATTTTTGAATCTTGATGCTGACGTTTCTTCATGACTTTCTGGAGATTTTTTACAACAGTAGTCAAGAAAGATGCTATCTATAAAAAAAAAAAAAAAAACTAATATTAAAATAATATAAAAGATATTGTTATCAAATTAGTCTATATATTTGTTAAAATTCAAAACTAAACTAAGAAGTTACTTACTCTTTTTTCATCTTTTTGGAAATCATGATATCGAGTACACATAAACAAAATATAAGCTGGTAATCCTGGAAGTAGTTTAAGAGCAGTTTCTGGTCTTAATTCTAAATAATAAAAAAAGTTGAAGTTAATTTTTTTGAATAAAATTAAAATAGAGTCACTTTCTATGGCTCTTAACACTATGGACATTTTTTAAAATTTTTAAAAACTACTTTTAACGAAAACACTTATCCTTCATCATCAACAAAAACAACAGTGTGATTTTATTTTGGCAGTAAATGCATGTAATCATTTTACTATTTACTTAAAAAAAAAACATGTTTTTGGTCATAATATCATTTTTGGCCATAGAAGGTGTCTTCCTTTACACTACTTTAAATAAATTACATACAACTATAACATTTAAAAAAATCAATCCTTTTCATTACCTATTATTAAATTTCTAGCAACAATAGGATCATCATCGATTGAGCACTGGAACATGCCCATATATTCTGTGCGGTTTTTCTTTTTAGCAATTATAGTGCTATCCTCGGTAGAAATTGTTGTGCTATTGGCAAAATTTTCACTGCCCAAAGTTATATCTAAAGAATTGAGAATTAAAGGAAATTATATATATAATTTGATATATATATATATATAGAAATATGTATGTATATTAGGGTGTCCCTTATTTTGAAAATTTTGGAAATTCTTCGGGCTCACCCCCCAATTTTTTTTTTNTGGAAATTCTTCGGGCTCACCCCCCAAATTTATGTGTATACATATAAAAAGTGGCTACAAAAAATTCCAGGCCGATCAGATAAGTTTAACCCGTGCCGACTTGGGGTTGAAAATCGGGCAAAAGGGGTACTTTTTTAGTTTTTAGCAATTAACTCGTAAATTAGCACTCTCACAAAAAAAAATATTAAAACTAAATTGTAGATCTAATTGTTTTGTATAAATTAAGTCCTTACAGTTTTTCTTTTAAATCCATTAGTTTTCTAGAAAAATGTCAAAATACATAATATTTCGTAAAATTGCCGAAATTAGCATATTTACGAATATTTTATCATATATGACGAACCATATGTGATACGACCTAATGTTTCATACAAAAATTGTTTAAAATTAAATTTTACGAAATAAAAGTATTAAGTACAAATTTCATTGAACCGATCGTTTTATTGCTATAAATGAATTAACTCGATCATATTATGATTTTTACTAAAGATATGAATTTTAATGCTAGATTCTGTTAGTTATCATCTGGTTTATTACAACACTTATCGTACAAGTACGGCGATAATACTATGGTATGACTGAATTAATGTATTGTTATTATTTTTAAATTATAAATAACTCTGGAAATCGTAAATTTATTACAAATCGCAGCAATAGATGTAGTGAACTTATACTTATACCACTTTAGTCGCTCACATCGCGTATTAAGTTGAACTGCTTCCTATTGTGTTTTTCTTTTAGTGTACGTAAAAATGTCCGTAGTATTAAGAAATGACAATAAAATATTTTTAATAGGGTCTTTGACTACTCAAATTTTAGGTTCAAAACTTCCATCCATTGGACAAGTTCTAAAAGTTTTTTTTTATAACCTAAGAATTGTTAATCTTACTATAAGAGCAAAAGCAGTATTGACTATTCGCGAGTGTAATATTTTCTGGGAAATGGACGATTCCATTTCAACCGAAATAAAAAAATTAATGGTTGTATCCCTTAATAATGAGTCAATAATAAACCCTAGTAAACGTTTTATTCTTTCATCGAGTCATATTGACAAATCATTTTCAGGTATAATAATTTTTGATATCTTTATTTTTTGATGACTATTGAGTGATTGATATTTTTTTTTAGGAAAAACTGTAGCTTCTTTTTTGTCAAAAAGCAGTATGAAATTTTTCAAACGATTCGATATCAATACTAATTTTTTAAATTTGGATCCAAGTAATTGGAATACTGATAATTTTTATTTACACGAAAAAGAAATTGTATGTTCACTTAAAGTAGTAAATGACTCTGCAGATAAAGCGGTTAAGGTAATGGAAGATTTTCATGAAAGTTTAACTGTAAACGATGAAAAAGCTGAGTTACTTTTACACTGTGTGTTCAAGAGCATAGAATATTATATCCTAATTGCAACAAAAAAACATTAAAACATAGTTTTTAATGTATATTTTTGTTATAATTTGTGAATTATTTTGAATTTAACATTTTGTATTTTATATAGTAACTTTTTTTTAATTTATACAATAATATTGAGAAGTAAGTATCATTATGAGTTTAAGTCAAACAAATACATCACTTTACAATATAAAGGAAATATATTTAAATTAAGCAATAAAATTCATATATTTAGTAAAAATCGTAATATGATCGAGTTAATTCAGCTATAGCAATAAAACGATCGGTTCAATGAAATTTGTACTTAATACTTTTATTTCGTAAAATTTAATTTTAAACAATTTTTGTATGAAACATTAGGTCGTATCACATATGGTTCGTCATATATGATAAAATATTCGTAAATATGCTAATTTCGGCAATTTTACGAAATATTATGTATTTTGACATTTTTCTAGAAAACTAATGGATTTAAAAGAAAAACTGTAAGGACTTAATTTATACAAAACAATTAGATCTACAATTTAGTTTTAATATTTTTTTTTGTGAGAGTGCTAATTTACGAGTTAATTGCTAAAAACTAAAAAAGTACCCCTTTTGGCCGATTTTCAACCCCAAGTCGGCACGGGTTAAACTTATCTGATCGGCCTGAAATTTTTTGTAGCCACTTTTTATATGTATACACACAAATTTGGGGGGTGAGTCCGAAGAATTTCCAAAATTTTCAAAATAAGGGACACCCTAATGTATATATATGTGGGTACTGTTGATGTCTAGATGACACCACTTTCAAGATCTGGAGGTGGGGATTGGTATTATCTAATATCAACAGCAAGAGTTACCTGAGTCGTGAGTTGTCTACGACATGTTTTTGCGTTTAATTTAATTTATATGTTTTTGTAAATGTTTTATAACTTTTATATATTTGAATAATATTGTATATGTATAATAATATTTTATTTATTATAAAATTTTAAAACTATGTTTTGTGTTTCTATTGTTGGCTGTTAATTTCCACATATATATTATATATATAATTTTCCATACAAAAAAATATAAATTTACCAAAATTGATAGTACTGTTTTCTTTTGCACCCAACAATAAATCATTTCGTAATAATACATATTTACGCAGTAGTTCATCATAGTTTTGTTTTAATTGCTAAAAAATTATATAGATAATATTAAACAAATTAAAAATATTATAATTATTTAAAAACATAAAATGTAATAATTTTTATGAAAGTAGGTAAATAACATTAAATGTAATGGGATTTTTATAAAAACTTTAAATTGCATTGCTAAAATGCAAAAAATGTTTACTATTAAATAATTTTATTACTATATTCTTAATTTTGAATAGAAAAAAATAATTTATCAATTAATGTATAGAAATAGTAAACATTTTCTATGTTTTGAAATACTTGTGAACAAATATTCTATAAACTTTAGATCTTGTTTGAAGTTTAATTAAATTTAAAACCCTCCACCTTAGAAATAAGTCATATTGATTATGTATAACTATATACATAAATTTACTTCATATCAAGGTGCAAAAACATTTTGTGTTTAACATTAAAGCTAAAAATTATATTACAAAATAATAATTGCTAATTTATTAAAAATATATTTAAATTTATTTCTGTTAATTTTCGAAAATATCCAAAAATAAAATATTAAAATAGATATCAGAGATAATAAACCTAGCATTTTTTAACATAATTTAAATAAAAAATTACCGTGTTATCATAATTTAACTTGGTAACATCAGATTGTAATACAGCATCACTCTGAGGATTTTTATCATATTCAATAGCTAAAAGTTCCTGTTGCTTTTCATTTTCTCGTAGTAGATTAGATAATTGCAAAGACATTTTTTCTTTTTCTTCTTTCCATTTAATTTTTTCAGACTGTAATTCTTCGACTAAATGTCTAAAGTAAATATATTAATAGCTTATTTAATCTTAGGTACACATCAAATATAAAAGTACTTCAAATTATATGGTATTTCTATATGATTTCATAAAAAATATTCTTAATTTATGAACTTTATAAAAAAATACCTATTTATGGCTTTTTGAGCATCAATAGCTTGATTTAGTTCTTTGTCTTCGGATAATGATGAAGATGTTCGTTCATAATCAACAATTTTACGTAATGACTCAGTTGTACCATCCAAACGATTTTGAAGTTCTTGACATTCTGCTCTTTTATTAAAAAGCTCATCTTGCAATGCTTCTAATTGGCCTAAACACATGGACACATATTCATACAAATTGTATCCACTTAATAATTTAAAAAGAGTTGAGTTTGGTTTTAAGAAAAGACACATTTGGAATAAATATAATGGATATACATTTATTTATCTACAATTATTAAATAACAGGAACAAATTATAAAATGACTAAAATTGTAAAAATAAAAAATAATTAACAAATTGTAAAATAAAAATAATTTTAAAGTAGGAGGATACTCCAATAGTCAAGGGAATGAACGATAAAGTTCTACTATAGCAAACAAAATGAATTTGAAAACTTTGCGATATTTACGAGTCAAATCGTCTGCAACAAGGAAATTGTTATTGCCAGTAGAATTTGTTACTTCTCTTAATGTGTTTAAGTTCTGCCGCAATATATAATTTTGCTCTTTTAACTGAGAGACCTTTAAGTAAATACAATAATTTTATAACAATAATTAAAAGTAAACTTAACTTGTTTTAAATATGATACATACGTCATTTATATCAGAAGTGTCACTTAATAGTTTGTCATTTTCAATTTTTTTTTTTAACAGATCTCTTTCCATTTGAGTGGCCTTCAATGTTTTTTGTAATTTATTTATATCATCATTACCATAAATATTCTGTACATTAACCTGAAAAAAAGTTAGTAAACACTAAGTAATGTCATAAATACTGAGATAATCATTAAATCAATCAATTACTGTAAAAAGGAAATATTTAAGAACATATAAACATTAACTTGTAGAAATTAATGAAATCTTTTAAAAAATATGAGTGAACATATTCCTTATATGTAGTTGGCAAATTAATAGATATGTCAGGTAAACAATAACAATTTATAAATGTTTCTACATTTATACATGTATTCATTTTTGTTCACTTTTTCCAACTTTTAGTAATTATTTCTGTCACTCTGACTTTTTCAAACATGTAATTAAAACCCATATTGTTAGGTGAGTAGCTCCTATTGAGCATTATACATTCAATTTTCTGGCTTAATGATTTCTATGACTTATTTATAATAAATGTTTAATTTACAAATATTTTTAATTATACAGCTAAATAAAATAATAATTACTAACAATACATAATTTTTAACATGTTTAAATTTCAAATTTTTAGTTCCCCCGCCCTAAAAGAGCCATCTCAAAATATCCTAGACTAGATAATTTTATGTCAAAAACTTACATTATATAATTGTATACACAAAAGTTAAGCTAGTAAAATAATTTGAAATATCTGTGGATTTAAATAATTTATACTTATGAATTATATCAAGCTCTTAAGTTATATTAGAGAAATTGAACTTACATCATTTGAATCACCCTTCATATATCCATTTTCTTGAATAGATGGCAAAATACTAAGATCAGAACCATTATATTTTAGTTCAACAGATGTAGAGTTAGAGTGACATTCTAATATTTCTAATCGTTCTTCTACCAAACGCTTTTCTGATAATAACTTTTGATATTTACTTTTTTCGGCTTCAGTTTCTTGTCGTGCTTTGAGTATCTCATCATCATATTTCATTTTCCAATTCTCTAAAATAGTTAATAATAATAAATTTTAAAAATTACAAAAAAACTGAATTCTTTTACCGTGGATTTCATTAATTTTTTTTTCATTATCTTGTTTTGCTTGTAAGAGAGTTAACTTTAAATCACTAATAATTTTTTGTGCTTCCATGAGACTGTTTTCATCAGTTTTCAATTTTTCCTTGTAAAATTCAAGTTTTTCTTCAGTTATCTTCTTTTCACTTTCATATTTCATAGTTAAAGTATTAAATTTAGTTTCATCATGCTGTACTTTTTTTTTTAATGCTATTAATTCTAAAGAAATACTTTTTTGATCTGATAACTTTTGTTTAGCTTCTTGAAGTTCATTTTCTAATAATTTTGTAGTTGATATTTGATTATTCTATAAATAAATTAGAAAATGCTTAATATTCTTAAATTTAATGATTGTCCTTTATTCAATAAAAATATGTATATACTTGAGACAATCTACAGTCAACAAATATTAAGTCGGATTTACATATTAACAGATATTAGACCTAAAAAGAACAATTTAAAAGTTGCGCAATGATAACATTGACCTTGGATTGAGCAGAAAAATATGGCCCATTTAGCAATTGTGCACATATACTAAACAAATGTTTTTAATTACACAGGTTATACCCTTGGGCTTTTTAATTAATATTTCAGTATTAATATTCTGAAAATAATATTGAATAATTTGAATAAAAATATATTATTATAAAGGTTTGAAATTTAACACATTTTGATTTACAAAACAAAGAATTCTAAAACAAAACTTTTAATGAACAATATTTTCCTTCAATTTTTCTATTTTTAAGATTTTTTAGTATACAAGGTGATTCTTTTAATACTAGTCACTCAATTATTCTTAAAATTCATAAGGCTCCAGGTAAAATGGCTAGAGAATCATAAATTACCGGGCAATGATGACATTTAGGCTGAAATACTTAAAAATGGAGGAGAGGAATTAATAATTACGTTATGAAAACTGATCAGATCTGTAAGTCTGATAGATCCTAAAGGACTGAAAAACTGATTTTCTCAATACATAAATAGAAAGCATGCAAGATGATAATAATAACAGAAGCATAACATTATGAGATAATTCAACATCCCACAGAAATTGATTAAGTTGATTGGAATAAGTATTATGGAAACATTTGTTTAATTCAAAGTAGAAGCAGTTAAACAGATTCAATAGCAGTAAAGTCAGGTCTTAGAAGGGAGACATCATACAAAATGGGAAGATGTGTTTAAAAAAACGTAGAAGCTGTAGGTAGTGGATGAAATTGAAAGGAATGAGCATCCAAAGAAGTGGTTAGAGGAAAAGGTGTTTAACAGGATAGTCTTAGTGACAGTTGTTTACTTGAAGAAGAAAAAAAGAAAAAAGATTTTATTTCGTATATTTCTAAACACAAAGATTATTTTTCATTGTTTCTATGAAAATGAAATCTGAGAATTAATCATAGTATTCAAACAAAGTTTTATGTCCCTGTGAAAAGAGGATAAGAATAATTCCAGGTCCCTCTACTAATTGTAAGAGGCAAATAATAAGGTTGCGTCAGGTCGATAGCCGGCGTAAAATTTTTGTCAAAAAATATGAGGGACCTATCCCAAGTAGTTGGGATTACGGCGAGGAAAAAGAAGATTAATACAAAAATTTATAAACACAAAACATAAATATACAAAACAATTTAATTATAAAAACGGCATAGTGTGGATGTGGCATAGTTGGGACAAGTATTGATGATATCCGACAATGATTAAAATCACTCTCATAAGAAACTCTTCGATGCAAATCTGTAGATAGTGTTTAATTCTATGAAATTGGTGCATAATTATGCAACATCAACTCTTATTTCCTTAGATATATCCTTATTATGATATCAGTCCTTTGATTTATATATATAATATAAAAATAAATACTTATTATTGTCATTAAATTTAATCTGAAATTGATATTCAAAAATTTAATATTGTAATTTTTATGGAGAAATTATAAAAAATTATAAAGTAGTTGTATATTTCATTACTTCTATGGCAAATGTATAGAAAAATTGATTCACAAAACTGATACAAAAATTTTAAAAATATAATTTTTGCTAATTTGTTTTTTTACTAAACATTTACAGATTAAAAAATTGACCAATAAAATTTAGGTTAAAATAAAATTCAACAACACATCAGCGAACGAAATCATAGGTCTGGAATATTTCTGAATATTAGTATGTTATAGAATACTATATAATATAAATATAAGAATTATAGTTCTGAATACTTCAATTGTAGCATCTATTTAAACACCAAGAGTTACATAAAAATGATTACAATGATTTTTTTTGAAATAATTTATTTCATTCTTAATACATAAATATAGTTATTTAAATGAAATTTTGAGCTTTTCTCGTAAATTTACTGTTAATAGTAATTATATAAGTTCCTGACCCCATATCAATCTATACAATACCATTATTTAAATCTTCATAAAATTTTCTATTAAATGATATCAATTTCATACATGCAAGTTGAGCTAAAAAAAGTTTAACAATTCAACATTTTTAAATTATAAACTTTTTTTAATTCAACTTTAGATATTGAGATATTTAATATTAAAAAAACATACTTTAAATTAAAATTTTTATTAAAACTTATTGTGAATTTTTTACTTTGACAGCCAATTTCTCAAAATAGAACAGTTGACTGAACTACTTTTTTTTTTATCTTATAGAAAAATTTTAAAAGATTTAATTTTAAAGAAGTTTAAAGAACAAAGTCGTTCCTGAACTTATCCAAAAGTTATATTGAAAATAAAAATAGTTTTAACATGCTTGAGGAGTCTGTTCAAACTCTTTTTGTACTTAGATTTTTTATTGAATTATCATAAAAGCATACTCTATGAAAGAATATTTTACTTAGAAAATCCCTTAAAATTTCTTTACGATCAGTGTCTTTAAAAAAAAAAGTATAGCAGTTTTAAAATGCAGAACTTTTTTTAAAAAATGCCGATTTTTACAGTAAAGTAATTTTGATATATTTGTCTAAAAATAAAAAATAAAGAGTTGTTCTTTAATATTTTATGACTATAAGTTCAACTATATTAAAATCGGGTTCAGACATAAAAATAAATTGCATACAAAACCATCAAATTATTATAATTTATAATAAGTAATTAACTCTAATACAAAATTGTTTATATTCTATACTTTGTATAATTTATATTTATAAAAACATACCAGTTCAATAATCTTTTGTTGCATCATATAAATTTTGTTCTCCAATCCTTTATTTAATTTGGTTACATGAGCTACAGACCGTGCTTCTTTCTTTAATGCTTTTAAACATTTCCTAGCAAACCATCTTCTTATACAACACTGAACTTTAATTATTTTATCTAATGTATTGTGATAGTGACGATAGCAAAGCCACATTCGAACTACTGATTGAATTTGAACAGCCTAGAAAATGATTTATTAAGTGTTATTAAGACAATAACTTTTGAATAAATTTTTACATACAGCAATATTTTCTCTTAAGTTTTGTGTAAATTTTCTAGCTACATATCCACGATAATAACATTGTATTGTAAGAGTAGCTCTTTGTGCACGTAAATATTTTTTTTGACATAACCATCGTCGTATTTCTTTTTGAATTTTTATAGCTGCTTGATTTTGACGAAGATTTTCTGTTAAACTATAATTAAATTTAAAAACATTAAATATTTTTTAAATATCACTCAAATTAATATGCATTATAACTTAATAAATTAAATAATGAAAATAAATACCGTCGACCAAGGAGGCCTCTTCCATATCTCTGTATTAATAAAACACTACGTTGAATTTGTTTGTATTTTTTTTGACATATATAACTACGCCAAGTTTTTTGTATAGTTATACTACAGTCTTTTCGTTTATCTCCACGTTTTCTTTCTAAATATGCTACTTGACCTGCTCTGAAGAATATTTTTGTATTTCCATATTTATAATTATCTTCGGACTGAAAATCAAATTTTAATATACTAAATTAAGTAGTTCATTTATATAAATGTTTATTATTTAAACTTACTTGAATTTGTTCTTCAACAATACGTTGACATGTTAATTTTGGATCATTTCTATTAATTTTATTAGATTTAAGTAGTATACGATATCTTGAAAAAAAATCAATATATGACCATCTGAAAAATAATAATAAACACATATTTAAAAACAATATTTTACTACCTTAAAATATTTAAATGCATAAATGTTTACCGAGAAGGGAATCCAGCTGCACTAATACGTATTGTCTCTAGAACACCACAAGCTCTTAATTGATCAACAGCTCGTTGATGATCAAAGACAAATGGTAATTTAAGGTCATTAGGCTTTACACATCTAATATAATGTGGAGTTGTATCATTAAGTGTTGTCATAAGAGCATTTAAAGAATCTCTAAATTGAGAGCCCACCTAAATTATAAAACAGATTAAGTAAGATAAATAAGTAAAATAGATAAATAAGTTTCAAGAAAACTCATTGTTAAAAAATATTTACAGTCTTTTTGTTTTGTTTTGTTTGTGATGGTGAACCAATTGTAGCACAAATAGGTCGCATAGGAGTGAGCATTCGAGATTTTGGAGTTGGCCCTATTGTAGCTGATTTTGGTGTACTAAGAACGCCTGATCTACGATCTGGTATACTTAATCTATGTTCATTTGAATTATCTATCATGAACATTGATCGCAACAAAGAATTCTTACCATTTCTTAAAACATTCACCTAATAAATATTAACAAATATTTCAAATGATTTAACTTAAAATATACATATTTTATCGATGTATAAACCTGATCTTCAATAACAGTATCTTTGTTTTTATCCAAAAAACCATTAGAATAATATTCAACATCTCCAGCAAAGTGTTTGATAGTAAATGCACTACCGGCTAACCAATTAAATATTATAATTATTTTTATAAATAAAAAATTTAACTTTTTTAAACGTACCAAATTTAGGTTTAGAAAATCTGTCCCATTTTGTACATTTTGTATATAACTTTTGTGTCCATGATGCATCAGAACCTTGTGGCATCTAATTTATAGCATAAATAAATGAATTATTAATTACTTAGTAATAGGATATAACATTTAATATAAAATAGAACTTACTCGACATTCTTCATCTAATAAATCTAGTATACCTAATTTAGATTCTATTAGATCAATACAAGGCTGATTGTCATAAAAATCTATGAATTTCCACTCAATTCCTTCTTTACCATATTCCTCTTGCTCTAATTTGAATACATGCTAAAACAAATAAAACGTTTTAAAATACTTATATCTTTAAAAAAGTTAACATCAGTAAAATGAAAAGTGTGATATAAGGTGATTTATAATCTATTATTTATCATGAACCACTAAATAAGTCAAAAAATAAAAATAACATCAATCATTTTTATTTTAGTTTCTTTTAGTTCCAAGTTTTCCTCAATTTATTAATCATGATGTATTTTTTATGTTCATTTTTTATATATTATAAGGATGTAAAGTTTATTTTAAAAGGACAACATACATAATTATCTAGCTTATTCATTAGATATTCTAATTAAGAATATGACTCGTTGATAAGAACTTTTGGGTCAGTATTTCAGAAGTAATAGGAATTTTAATTCCTAACTAGAAGAAAGATTGAGACAAAGAAATGACTAGAGATAAAAATTCAATAGTTTGTGCCTCACCCCTAGTCACTACTTTAAATTGTTAAAAATTTCTGAAATATAGGTCCAATAGTTCTTATGAACGAGTCATATTCTTAGTCAGATTATTATCTAATAAAAAAACACAAGAATAATAGATTAAAAATCACACAAAAAAATTAAAGCTGATATACAGCTAATTTCAAAAAATTCATAATAATACAAATAATATACAGAATGATTCATTAAGACACATTTTCATTAAAATTATATTAAATTTTTAATTTTCAAAAACCTAAAATTAAATTTTCTTTAATGATACCTCTTTTTTTAGCTTAATGGTGTAATAGAAAAAGGATGATAAAAAATTTTGTTCTTAAAATTTTTTTTAATCAATGCAATATCATTCATTGTAACATTTTAATTCATAGATTGAGTGTATAATTGAGTGTATACAGGTTACAGATTTTTATAGTGTATGTGTACTATGCTGTCACTACATATCTAATCTATGTATTAAAGCACTGCAACACTGGATGAATGGTGCATTAGATAATAAAAATTATATGCATAAAATTATTTTAAAAATGTTTATTCTGTTATGTCATCAAACTAAAAAAGTGTTCTCATTTAAAATAATTTAAGTTTGAGTTTTGATCCCTGAAAGGATGACAAAAAATTAATCACCACATATTATTATATTAATTTTTTAATCAAACACACACATTTTTTCTTTTATGTATATTTAATAGTTTTGAAAAAAATGAATGTTGTTCTCAATGAATCACACAATATTAAAATAACATACCAAATTAAATTGTTGTTGAAGTTTTTCGTTAGCATAATTGATACAAAATTGTTCAAAACTGTTTAATTCAAACATTTCAAAACCATAAATATCCAATACACCAATAATAGGACATGATCCCTAAAAATAATTAATTGTTGTACAATGTACAATGTACATATAAGTAAAATATAAAAATTATTACAAAATTATATATAAACATACAGTTGGAGAAGTCTCACACATAGTTTTGTTCATTATTGATATTAACCATTGAAACAGTGATGCATACATATGTTTGGCTAATGCATCTCTGGCTCCAATTGCCTAATAACATTAAAATGTAATTACAATTATGAATTTAATTTTAAATAATTAAAAAATATATATTTACCTCTTCAACAGTCATGGGTTTTTCATAAGTTTCTCTCATACTAACAATTTTTCGGTAACATAACCATTTTAATAATTCACCAGAATCAACATCAAGTAAAGATGAAAAAATATGTAAGCTAGGTTCATCTTGCTAGAAAGAAAATTCACATATTTAGGGTCACCATCAAAACAGCCAAAACTTAATAGTGAACTTCAAATAGGCGTTTTAATATACAGCAAATTAAATAATAGGGAATTTAATTGTACAAATCAGCAAATATCAACAGTAAGTTAATTATATGCAACATTTAAAAAAAATTCACATAATGAATTCATTTTGAATTAAAACATTGAGGTAACAATTTTAACTTTAATCTGAAACTGAGAAGGTATTGAGAATACTATGTGTTTTGTGTGTGTGTGTGTGTCTGTCTGTCACTTGTATCAGCTTCTACAGTTGAGTAATCAAATTTATTATAAGTATTTTTATGAAAGTTGTTGTTTTTTACTTGAACAACAGAAGAGCAAATCGAGAGATTAACATAAAGTTTGGAGGCGAAGAATTGAAAAATAATGCATACCCAAAATTTTACAGATAAACATCTGCCACTAGTGTATTCAGAAGCAGATGGTTGAATAGTACACACACTAAGAAACTGGATACCTAGTTTAATTCAGCAATGTGAATTATAGAGTGAATGTTAAAATCAACCTCCTTAAAATAAAATGGCGATCAGTACTAAACAATATCACTCCACCAAATATTAGAAGAAAACAGACTCTCATTTGGAAATGAATTGCTAGCAATCCATAACCACCAATATATATGGACTTAAGCATAATAAAGGAGACACCTCGTATTAAGTCTAGTAAACTACCATGGATAACTGCAAATAAACTGCAATTGAAATATTAAATGGCATCAGGATAGAATTTCAGAAAATCCTAATGAATATAGTTAATAATCCAACAATCAGGCTTTGATTTTCCAAGAAAGTTTTAGTTTAAATTGTTATAGAGGTTGGCAAGAATTGTCTATGCTTTCACACCTATAGGTTCATTATGCGCACTTCCTACCAAATTATATTAATTCAGTTTCTTCATAGGAGTGTTCCCACCGAACTGTTGTTGCTATTCTTGAATACCTAAGACTATATATAGAACATATTACTAGGCGCACCTATTTTGTGTTACTTACTTATCTATGTGTTATTTATATGATCATACTGTGTTTTTTTAACTTTTAATATAAAATATATTATTATATAATAATAGTAAATAAGATAATTTCTATGAAAAATTAATACGCTATTATACAATCTAGTTGGGTTTAAATATTATTACCAAACCATAGGCAATTATTAGGTAAAATATTTAGGTGGTCTAGACTAATAAAGGAGGCTAAAATATAATAATACAAAAAATACCAATTTAAGAGATCTAAAAAAAAATTTAAAAAGATTACAAGACACTACTAAAAGAATGAGAAGTACTTAAAATTATGTAGCCACAGTATCAATATATTAAATATGGCCCTGAAAAAATGGTATTAAAACTTAATTACCAATATAAAACATGAATCACCATCTCCGGCACTTCTTTGAGATCGATCAGTTATTTGTACATTTCCTAAATGCAAAATACTTGCTAAAACCCTCCACATAAGATCTTGATCTTCTTGAGAAAATCCTAATGTATTTAAAGCTTGAATCGTTTCATTGAAATTTTCTTCGTCAAGCTTACTACAAGATTGGCAGGATAAGTATAAGTACTCCTCAGAGCTTCCTAAATTAAATTATAATATAACTATAAACTATTTTTACATACATAAATAATTTTAGCTTCAATGTAGCTAAAAGTAAATATTAAGTTTTATACTTGTTTACTCAGTTTTATTATTTTTATTTTTTTTTTGTGTGATTAAATTTTAATTTTGCTCATATGAAGGGTGATCAATTAAGTATAAGAATAAAGTATAATTTTCTTCAAAACTGTTAAACATTTTTAATTTTTTTAATGGAACAAATTGTTTGATTCATAAAATTTTACAAAAATATGTAGTAAAATCATTTTTTTTTTATTTCCTTCAAGATTAAAAATATAAACTTTAATTTCCTTTAATGATAGCCACTACTTTTATTTTAGAGATATTAAATTAAAAATGTTTTTTCTATTTTATCATCAAACTAAAAATTTAGGTTTCCATTAAATAAAATTAAAATTTAGGTTTGCAAGACAAAAATTTAAATAACTGTTCATTATAATTACAACTAATTAAAAAAAAATATTTACCTAATTTTAAATGAGGAAACAAATGACGAGCAGAACATAACTGATAAAATATATGGTAATTTCGTTCTTCACTTGCTTGGTATACAACACGACTTTTTTCAAGAAGATATGTTCTCATACTAGCACCAATAATATGATTACGATCATCAAAATGTAACTCAATATATTTACCAAATCGGGAAGAGTTATCATTTCTAGTAGTTTTAGCATTTCCAATTGCCTAATAATAAAAATCTGAATTTTAGAATACTATTTTAAAATTTTGCTAACATAACATTGCAAAATAATTTATAATATTTGAATACCTCCATAATAGGACTTGATGCAAGGACTTTTTTCTCTACTTGTGTTTCAGTCTCTGAGCCACTTATTGTAGCAAAATATCTCATCGCATATTTGGCAGAAACTGTTTTACCAGCTCCCGATTCACCAGATACAATAATACTCTGGTTATTATTCTCTCTAATAAAAATGTTTAGTTAAAAATTGAATAATTTATTAAAATATAATATTAATATAATTACATTTCCATTTTATTGAATGCTTGTTCAGCTACAGCAAATACATGTGGGTCTAAGCTTCCCATTGTCTGGCCCCTATAAGTCATCATTGTGTCAATTCCATATATATCAAGATCTTGATAAGGATTTATAGCAACAAGAACAATTCCTGAAATTATAAATGATTTCTATCAACATATTTTATCACTTTTCAACACTAATTACCACAATAAGTGTAAATGGCACGACTTTGAACAAAACGGCAATAAAGGTTATACAAAATAGCTGGCTCGTGTAAGTATGACAATGATGTTAAGTCATTTTCTCCTATTAAGATGTCTGGATTTTGAAGCGGTGGCAACTCTTCTTCTGAATTAACTTTAAGAACTTGTTCAATCCCATCTTTTGTTTTTCTTATTACTAACTTTTGTCCATCATAAGATTCTATAATCTCAGCAGCTTGCCATACTTCTGATTTACATGGCACCCAGATTTTAGTTCCCTAACAAATAAAATAATTTAAAAAAATTTTAATATTATAGTTAGTAATAAAACTGTGAATTATATAAATTTATATATTTTGTTTGAGCCACATTGAAGGGTCCCAAGTTTGTGCAACTTTTTCGTAGGATTACATAATAACACAGATATATTTTTCTTTTTTTTTGGAAAATAAACCAAAACCCTCCAAAACTGTAACATCGAAAAAATATATTACTACGTTTTCAGATCAATTAATACAAATTTGTGGGGGCTAATAGTGTGTTCGGATTAACTTAATAAGATTTATAAATGTATATAATTTAAAGTTATTAACATTATGAAAAAACATTCAATTACGTCTATAATGAAACTATTTCAAACCTAAATTTATTCAATTTACTACCCAAACACTTTTAAACATATTTTAACAGTTATGAATACAAATACTATTAATTCCTTTATTATTTACATAATTTCATAAGATATATACTGATTATATAATACAATATTATTATTCAAGCATTGAAATTTAGAGAGTTACATAAATCCAATTTATTTCTACTACATTGAATAATTTTTATTGTAAGTCTTAAAGAATTAATACTTTTTTATTTTACATTAGCTTTTTTAGTCTCGAGCCCACAGAATAGATTTAAGTAATTTAATAATTATCAAATTATCCGAACAATCTAATAACCTAACTTGTAACTGTAATACTTCCAAACAACACTAACTGACGTCTAAAACGTACTTAGTGCAAAGATCTACTACCAATCAAAGTGGAATAGATCTTTAAAATATCTAATCATTCATAAATCAAGAAAAATACTACTAAATGAAGCCAAAAGAAAAAATCACTGTATAAAATAAGTTTTTTTTGTTAACAACTTTTGAACTAGCACTTGTGAAGTTATTGACATTTTTATACCGGGAATTATTTTAAAGCGGGAAAAGGAGTGCGCTTAAGAAATTTTTAATGATAAAAATAATTATACCTGCGCCAATTTCCCCAACCTATATTTTAAAACCATTAAATTTTCTGAACTACTAGTACAAAAGTTAATGTTGAACAATGGCACCGGAACCTGGGGGCGGTTGCCCCACTAGTGCAACAAAAAACTACAATTAAAATAACCATATTCTCCATTAATTTCTTTTTGTGATAATGTAATTATTTTTATTCATTGTAATTAATAAAAATAAATTATTATAATCCTATAAACAATATTTTAGTATATTTTTGATAATTTTATCATATATCATTAATAATAATAATAAAATAATATGCATTATCAAGGGTTAAGTTAATAAACTACTGAATTTTTGTTATATTATCACTAAAAAAATTAACTTCATCCGTTTTTTAGCTTTGCAACAATCAAGACGGCCGATTTTAGTCATAAATATTTGCCCTCTGGCATAATAAAAATAATTCTGACACCCCTCCTAACTGCTGACTACTGATTTTTTAAATTAGATTTTCTATTTTATAGACTATATGTATGTTGCAATTAAAAACAAATAAAATTGACACCCTTATAATGTATAAGAGATGAACCGAAAAGTTACTTAATAATTCGATCTATTAATAATAATTAATAGAACAAGAAGAATTATACGTAACTATAAAAATCCAAAAAAACATACACTAAATTATATTAAAAAAATAATTGAATTGAATAAACAGTTTATCCTGTATTTCATTATTAAATTTTTATTATAATAAATAAAATAGAGAGAATTATTATTTTTTTAAATATTCTTCACTTTAATTAAAGCGTTGATTAAAAAATACAAAATAAGACAATACAATTATATAACATAATCATTATTTATTTTATAACGAATTTAAATTTTACTAATTAATATTCCAATTCGTAAAATGTAAAACTATAAAAACAGCATAATTGCACAACACAATAATTATCATTATATTTATTCTTCCTTATGTATATTTAAATCAAAATACTTTTATAAATAGACATAATAAACGATATATATATATATATAACATTTGAAATCAATCTTAATGACTTGTATAAATACTATCATTCCCGTTTTATCAATATATTTCGTAACAAAGAAACAGCAAATAATAGCAATTATTTTTCAAAAGTATTTGAAAATCCAAAACTTATGAAATAATAACATTACTATAATTTGAATAATATTCATATAACAAGATTTATTCTCGTTATTCATAACTCGTTGATAATCATTTTATTAAAACAAATTGTGTAAATTAATCAAAAATTCATTGATTGAAAAATTAGTAATCTGTACTGTAGACCCAACATAAACTGTTGACTTCCCAGTGTTTGATAATTGTGGTCACAGTGTTTTAATTGGGCTACATAATTTCTTTAGTACTGTAAGATTTCAAACTTGTCCACATTTTTTTTTCACTCAATTAAATGTATATTTGTATACTAATATACTATGGATAATACCGATGATTTTAATTATATTAAAAGATTTTTCAATTAATAGTTGTATCAATATTTTGGAAATAAAAAGTGAATTTGAAAAAGGAAATTAGTGATGACTGTCTTCTCTCACGACTCATGTTTGTACAAATAATTTATGCTATACTTGTACGTAAGTTTCCACACAATTTTCTCATTAAAATAATAATTATTACGAAGCTACATGGTTTAGTCTCATAACACGTTTCAGTCATGAACTAAATAAGTACTATTTATGCCATGTACAACTTATCATCTCTCTTCAAGAAAAGCTCATGTTATATAATCAACTGGGTATGCTAATATTAATATGTAAACATAAAAATCAGCGTAATAGTATTATAGCGTAAGGAGGCTAAGGTACAATTTTTGTTAAAAAACAAATTATCTATTATATTAAGAAATTATTTTATCTCAATTGAAAATTAAAAACAAAATAAAAATAAATATAAATAGTAAAAACGGTAGCACAGTGGGGTCGCGGCATAGTAGAGACATTGCATAGTAGGGTCCAGTATAGATTTAATCTGACAGTGATTAAAATCACTATCATAAGAAACGCTTCGATGCAAATCTGTAGATAGTGTTTAATTTTAAAAAATTGATGGATAATTGCAAAAGCAACATCAACTTCTATTAAAATAAAATACAAAACCCATAATTATCATACAAAAATAGTATATTTTTCAATATGGTAGCCATTTGCG